GGACACGGCGGGCGACTTCGAGTACCCTGAGCTGTTGAGAGAAGCAGTTAAATCCAGCCATGCTTTTGCACTGGTCTTTGACCTTAATAACGCCATGCAGACTTTCAGAGAAATTGAAGCATTACGACAACTGATTATTGAAGAGAAGCGAGAACAAGTTCCTATTATCGTTGTTGGTAACAAATTGGACTTGATTCATGAAGAAACTATAGATAACAAAGTTATTGATGCTATTGTTTCCATTGACTGGGGTTGTACCTACCTTACAACATCGGCAAAATGTGATGTAAATGTCTCAGATGTTTATAGAGCTGTGTGTAAAGAACTTAATATAATAATTGAACAAAAATCAGATGTAAACGATGTTTCTAAGGAGAACAAAAGCCAAAACGTGAAACCATGGCGGCGCATATCTTTACGCAAGAGACGTTTTTCAGTTAAATCATTTTGATAATTTATTTTGTGGCAATAAAAATATCTATTACAATTATTATGAGCATTTATTTTATTTCATTACAAGCAAGACTTTTTTACTTGAATTAAACTTCACATTTTAAAAACATTGTACAGTTTCCTAATATTTAGAGTAAAGACATATATTTACAGTTCCATTTACAATGAACAATGCCAAAAAATTGAAATCAAATATTACAGTTCATTAAAGAGTCTCATCCATGATGTACCGGTTGTATGACCATATGTTAGTATCCCAAGTATAATTCCATATTATACATAAGTATGATAAGGGAGTGTAAGAAAAAGCAACTATTTTTACGAATCGAGATCAGAATCTTATATAATGCTTGTATATATAATTACGTGCATTACTGAGGCATATCTACTGTTTGTCATTTTAAACTCGTTAAGATTATTGAAACGAAATGTAATTGATCGGGCTGAAGGTTCACGTATACATACAGGTGTTGTTATAACGCCCCTGCATTAAAAGAAATAATAATAATTATTGTTGATATTATCTTTTTCCCCAAGTTAGAGATATGTTGGATTTGGTATGGTTGTCTGTCTGTCTGTCAGACATTAAGACGTCATCAGACCATTGCTTCCAATTCAATCTTCCATGATTTAAAAGTGTCACGAACTATACTCGGTGTCATATCACAAACGTAAAAATCAGTGGGTTATGCACTTACAGTACCACGACCCTGTAATTCTGATGAAATCTAACCTCAACTAGAAGGATTTTTAAACAAAATACGGCTGTCTTTGCTATTCCCCTATCTTATCTCTGACCATAGGTATATGACTTGACCTTTGAAATTTGACGTTGGGTTAAGGTTATGACTCACGTTCAGGATGTCAGCGACATATTGATAAATTTTGATAAAAAGTCCCTGGGTTACAGCTCAGACACCATTTTAACCGCAGAACTGTAGCGTTATGTTTTTAGGTCACCTGAGTTACTCAGGTGACCTATTGCTATATGTTTTCGTCCGTCGTCGTGTGGGTGTGCGTCGTGCGTAAACTTTTCACATTTTCGACTTCTTCCCAAGAACCACTGGGCCAAAACTTGCCACAAAATATCCTTGGCTGAAGGGGATTCAATTTTGTTCAAAAGAAGGGCTACACCTCTTTCCAAGGGGAGATAATAACAAATTAGTTAAACAATGGCATTTTTTAAAAATCTTCTTCTCCAGAACCACTGGGCCAAGAAAGCTAAAACTTATGTGGAAACATCCTCAGGTAGTGTAGATTCAAATTTGTTCAAATCATGACCTCTGGGGGTGGGGTGAGGCCACAATGGACGATCAAATGTTTACATGGTAATACATTTGAAAAATCTTCTTCTCCAGAACTACTGGGACAGGAAAGGTGAAACTTATATGGACACATCCTCAGGTAATGTTGAGTCAAGTTTTTGCAAATCATGACCCCCGTGGGTAGGGCAGGACCACAATTGACGATCAAAGTTTTACATTTTAATACATTTGAAAAATCTTTTAAAATCTTCTCCAGATTTTAAGATGGAGAGGTCAGAGGTCACCAAGCCGGTAAGTCGATCCAACTTGGGCTCCGGTGAAATTCTTGAAATTATATCAGTTTACTGCACGAGTGTAAATAGAAAATGTACAAGCGCATATATTATTCATTGATTAAGACATTTATAGCACAATTTAGGCGAAATTCAATGTTAAATCGATAGTTTCTTTGTGCTATGTGCAATCAGTGATTTGTGAATTCAACTCACGTAACCTTCTAAGCTGTTGATTTGTGCCTGTGATTTCTATATGATTACGATCCTGTCTCTGTGGACTTACTCATCTTGCTTCAAAATGTGTGATACATCTGAAATTCTAAAGGAAAGTCACTCTGCGATTTATGGCCAGCCAGAGTTCGAAAATGCCAGTACCATTGTCAATGATAAAGAGACAAATCATTTTATCTTCAATTCATTCCTTATTGACAGATGAACTCAAAACTCTCAGACATTCAACTTAGGAGTGATTCACTGGAATCTAGGCTCAGTGCTATTGAAAATAATTCCTTTAATGATTTACAAGAATCTGTGAATTTGTTAAAGTCGAATCTGTCAAAGTTTGATGAAAGCGTAATAAGTATGAAGAAAGATGTCCAAAACTTTGACACAGGCATGGAAGCACTGGGAAATATCTTTGATACGTGAAAGAGACAACAGAAGCAAACAAGAATCTGATTATGAGCAATGTGAAAGCTACAGACCAGTGTATTCAGGCCCAAAAACTTGTAGAAAACGAGTTAAAAGCTGTTAAGGATGCTAATGAGACACTTCAAAATTCAGTGACAGACCTATAGATGCGATCGATGCGAGATAACCTTATTTTTTCTGGAATACCAGAACACATATTCGAGGATACAGAAGCAGTCTTACAAAATTTTGTTCAGAGGAAATGTAGGCTGAATTACGAAATTCCGTTTGAACGTGTACACAGAATGGGAAAATGGGATGAGTACAGTGAACAATCCAGAAATATTGTCGCTAAACTTACGTACTACAAAGACAGAGAGGACATTCGCAGTACATGTAGAACACCACAAAAACTACATGGCAGTAGGGTATGGGCAAATGAGCAACTCCAGCCTGAGATCGAGGAAAAAAGAAGAAAACTCTATCCTGTCTTCCGACAAGCCAAGAAAGATCACAGGCGTGTCAAGCTCGTAAAAGACATTCTGTATCTCGACGGGCAGGAGTATATACCACCAGCTGGATCCGCGCCCAGCGCACCTGTACAATCGTTACCCAACTCGAATTCAAAAGTGTACTCACCCCTAAACCCACTGATAACAGAGCTGACAGAATATATACCAACTTTTACAGCCTCCAGGCCACCAGCACAAGAAAGATCAGCAAACGCCGAGGGCGTTATATGCTTCCATATATATATATGGAAGCATCCTCGGGTAATGTAGATTCAAATTTGTTTAAATCATGACCCCCTGTGGTAGGGAGGGGGCACAGCAGGTGATCAAAGTTTTGGTTAGGAATGTATAGGAAAGATCATTAAAAATCTTCATCTCAAGAAAAAAATGCCATGATTTGTCATTTTAATACAGAAGCATATTCAGGTAGTGTAAATTCAAGATTGTTCAAATCATGACCCCATAGGGTAAGGTGGGGCCATAATAGAAAATGAAACTTATAGGAAACAAATCTAAATGGGGGACAGATTAGGGCTTAATTTATGAGTTGTTACTGAATACTAAACTAATTATTTTATTGATCCTGATCATCGTACTTCTCTTGCTTTTGGGCAACAAAGCTTCTTTTATCAGTGTATTTTATAATCTATGGATCCTCTAAATTGTTGTTTTATACTCAGGTGACCCTTAAGGCCTTTGTGCCTCTTGTTATATTTTAGCCTTTGACCATAACGCTACAGATTCCGTAATGTAAATAAAGTGCATTTTACGGCGCAAGATTTTCTGCGCACGTTTGGGGAGAATATCTCCAATTTTTAGCATTGGTCAATCAACTACCTTTCATTCCTTAATTCTAGACATATTCTTTTACTAACCTGTATATTTTATCCACCTCCTAACCCTTTATAGTTTGATCTACAGACCAATAAATTCACTTGTGATTTTCTGTCTACCAACAGACATGGTGACTTACTGAGATGTCTGTAGATACGACTCCATAAAGGGTTAGGAGGTGGATAATATATACAGGTTGGTAATAGACTTCTGAATTCCGAGAAAAGGTTCCAGTCAGTTAGTGAGTTACAGCTCGGACACCATTTCTTGTCATGTCGCTCACTGTTTAACCTTTGTGATATAACATTGAGCATCGATAGTTTGTTTGTTTTATATCCTTTAGAATTTCTCACTCATATTGAGACACTATCAATTGCTGGTGAAGATTTAGACCTGTACTCGGCACTAACGGCCTTTGAGCAGTGGGGGATTTTTTTGGTGCCAGCACCTACTGCGACACAGGACTTCGGTTTATACGGTCTCATCCAAAGGACCGGTCTCCATGTCCCGCAGTAGGATTCGAACCCGCGGCGTAAGAATCAACTCCTTAAACCGCAAGTCTAGAGCAAACGCTTTAACCACTGCGCCACAAGGGCGACGAGCATCGATCGTGACACATCTTTAAATCACGGGAAACAATTTTCATAAGAAAAAAAGGACAGAAAGGAATGGGACCGTCTGAAGATGTTTGGTGTATGACAGTCAGATACAGAATACAACCATATCAATTCCAACATTTCTCCTAAATATAGGGGGAAAATAATTATTATTTGTTCTAATGCATATGAATTGTAATAACATATATCGGTCCACGTATTCTTAAGCACGATATTTCAACAAGTTTATCTCTGTCGGAAATGCTAGATATGCTTTTATTTAACAAGTTCATGATAGTGAACCAATAGATATTCTTTAGTAATGCTTGTAATTAAAAAGCATTTTATGAAATTATCTTACTCTCCCTCATCACATTTATGTATACGGAATGATACCTTGCATACTTGCATAGAACCGGTAAATCTAATGTAATATTTGATTTCGTTTTTTTTTTTTTTTTTTTTTTTTTTTTTTTTTTTTTTTTTTTTTTTTTTTTTTTTTTTTTTTTTTTTGGCATTGTTCCTTGTAAATGGAACTATAAATTTATGTCTCTACTCTATTAGGAAACAGCATAATGTTTTTAAAGTGTGATTTTTAATTCAAGTAAAAAGTCTTGTAATGAAATAAAATAAATGCTCATAATAATAGTAATATATATTTTTATTGCCACAAAATAAATTATTACAATGATTTAACAGAAAAACGTCTTTTGTGTAAAGATATGCGCCGCCATGGTTTCACGTTTTGGCTTTTGGTCTCCTTACAAACGTCGTTTACATCTGGTTTTTGTTCAATTATTATATTAAGTTCTTTACACACAGCTCTATAAACATCTGAAACATTTACATCACATTGTGCCGATGCTGTAAGGTAGGTACAACCCCAGTCAATTGAAACAATAGCATCGATAACTTTGTTATCAATAGTATCTTCATGAATCAAGTCCGATTTGTTACCAACAACGATAATAGGAACTTGTTCTCGCTTCTCTTCAATAATCAGTTGTCGTAATGCTTCAATTTCTCTGAAAGTCTGCATGGCGTTATTAAGGTCAAAGACCAGTGCAAAAGCATGACTGGTTTTTACGGCTTCTTTCAACAGGTCCAGGTACTCGAAGTCGCCCGCCGTGTCCAGAATCTCCAGTTTGGTGTATTTATTTTCAGACGTGTGAATATCATACCGGAACATCGTCTCAATGGTTGGGGCATCTTTTTCTCTGAAACCTCTTTTTAGTATCTGCTTTATCAGGCACGTTTTGCCGACCATTTTGGCCCCGAGGACTGCAATGCGGAAACACTTTTCCATTTTGGCTGGCATGTTCTCTCGTATCTAGTAGAAGGCGATCCCTTCCTTCAGTTCAGCATGGAACTGGATTCAATGAAAAGCTTTCTCTCTTTTATACTACTTACCTACCTCCTTCTGCTTTCTTATTGACTGAATTATTCAGGCCTCATTATCATCTTTTAGCACGCTTCAAGTATAATTAGCGCATCAATAAAAGAAGAAGCATTTTAAAATGTCATTCGGTAAACAAAGAAATAATGAACTAAAATGCCTGAGTGGTGGTCCAATTGTATAATTTCATTTTTCCAGAACTAATCAAAAAGTGCTCTTTGTGTTTTTTTTATTAAACAGCTGAACCTGAATTTTCCCGGGAACAATTTTTTTTCCAGGAACTTGATTTCAGCCAGTTTTACTAAACCTTATTAATCCAATTTTTAAGATATCTTTTTAGTCCGTGCTGGTGAAACAGTTTGAATAGTGAGTGGACTGAAATTTGGTATAGATGACAGATACATATTATACACCAGATTAATAAGATTTTTTTTAAAAAAAATCATAGCCATGCACTGTGTTTACGCCTTCAGTAAGTTTGTCCCAATTTATTCAATACCCAACTGATTTGCGAAGTACATGCACATACATTTAAAAGATTCGTAAAGCTCTGGCAAAGAATGCTAATATAGTACACGGTTTGTTTTCGTAGAAAAAAAATTATGCACCCACACTGGGGATAAAACTCATGATCCATTTGATGTCAGTTCTGTACGCTACCGATTGTGTAACAACAACCGTCAAATAACAATGAATTTTTAAAGTAAATAATATGTAGTTTCATACATTTTACATAAAATAATAAATAATTTTATAAGAAAAAAAAGGATCTAATGAAATGATTAGAAATTGCATGGGAAACAAGAGGCCCAAGGGCCTTAACGGTCACCTGAGTATAATACAACAATTTAGAGGATCCATAGAGTATAAAATGAACTGAAAGGTGAAGCTTTGTTGCCCAAAAGCAAGAAAAATAGGGTGATCAGGATCAACAAAATAATTAATGTAGTATTTATTGACAGTTTATAAATTAGGTTCTAATCTGTTCCCTATTTATCACTATCACTATACAGTATATTAAAAAAACTATCAGTGCTTCTGTACTATTTTAATTTCTTGTTGAAATCTCTTACATTGGTCTCTCTTGGTCTTTGATGAACATTTAATAAGACAAGTTATTTTTGTTCCATTTTTATTTATCTATTACTTACAAGTCTACCTGATCAGTAAAACTATGAAAATACTTTTTATATTATACAATAAAAATTATTGCATAATTCTTTTATTCTATTAGAGTCTCTCACCCTGGGACCAGAAGTTTGCTCATCATAAGTAATCACTTTGTTAATCTGCTTAACACTAAGGAGCAGACAGAATTATTTAATAGAATTAATGCATTTTCACTATATTATCAAGAGCCCCACCCTTACACCAGCACTTCTGACCCGGGGTCATGCAACTCACTACTCTGGAAGAAGCACTCTTGCTCATCATAACTATATCTTAGCTTCTTTGCTTTTTAACCAGAAGCAGAAAAGAATATTTTCAAAGAAATTTTGCTTTTTCACTATATAATCAATAGACCCCCCCCCCCCCCACCAACCTTTTCACTAGAATCCTTTACCCTGGGGCCATGAAATTCACAGTTTTGGAAGAGGCATCGTTGCTTGTCATAACAATGTACTTAGTTTGTTTCAAAAATACCCAGGAGCAGAGAAGAAGATTTTTAAAGCATTAATGCATTTTCACTATATAATAAATAGAGCCCGGCCCTAAGATCGGAACCCCTGATCCAGGGGTCATGAAATTCACTATTTTGGAAGAGTCACCCTTGCTTATCATAACTTTGTATTTAATTTGTTGAAATAATACCCAGGAGTAGAGAAGAAGATTTTCAAAGAAATAATGCACTTTCACTATATGATTTATATAGCCCCGCCCTAGCACCAGAACCCCTAACCCTGGGGCCATGAATTTCACAATTTTGGTAGAGTCACTCTTGCCAATCATAACTATATATTCAATTTGTTTCAATAATTCCCAGCAGTAGAGAAGAAGATTTTCAAAGAAATAATGCACTTTCACTATATGATTTATATAGCCCCGCCCTAGCACCAGAACCCCTAACCCTGGGGCCATGAATTTCACAATTTTGGTAGAGTCACTCTTGCCAATCATAACTATATATTCAATTTGTTTCAATAATTCCCAGCAGTAGAGAAGAAGATTTTCAAAGAAATAATGCACTTTCACTATATGATCTATATAGCCCCGCCCTAGCACCAGAACCCCTAACCCTGGGGCCATGAATTTCACAATTTTGGTAGAGTCACTCGTGCTTATCAAAACTATGTATTCAATTTGTTTCAATAACACCCAGGAGTAGAGAAGAAGATTTTCAAAGAAATAATGGACTTTCACTATATGATCTATATAGTCCCCCCAAGCACCAGAACCCCTGACCCTGGGGCTATGAATTTCACAATTTGGTAGAGTCACTCTTGCTTATCATAATTATGTATTTAATTTGTTTCAATAACACCCAGGAGTAGAGAAGAAGATTTTCAAAGAAATAATGCACTTTCACTATATGATCTATATAGCCACCCCCTCCCCAAGCACCAGAACCCCTGACCCTGGGGCTATGAATTTCACAATTTTGGAAGAGGCATCATTGCTTATCATAACAATGTACTTAGTTTGTTTCAAAAATACCCAGGAGCAGAGAAGAAGATTTTTAAAGCATTAATGCATTTTCACTATATAATAAATAGAGCCCGACCCTAAGATCCAGGGGTCATGAAATTCACTATTTTGGAAGAGTCACCCTTGCTTATCATAACTTTGTATTTAATTTGTTTAAATAATACCCAGGAGTAGAGAAGAAGATTTTCAAAGAAATAATGCACTTTCACTATATGATCTATATAGCCCCCCCCCCCCTCTCTTCCCCAAGCACCAGAACCCCTAACCCTGGGGCCATGAATTTCAATTTCACAATTTTGGTAGAGTCACCCTTGCTTATCAAAACTATATATTCAATTTGTTTCAATAACACCCAGGAGTAGAGAAGAAGATTTTCAAAGAAATAATGCACTTTCACTATATGATCTATATAGCCTCCCCCCCCCCCCTCAAGCGCCAGAACCCCTGACCCTGGGGCTATTTTTGGAAGAGGCATCATTGCTTATCATAACAATGTACTTAGTTTGTTTCAAAAATACCCAGGAGCAGAGAAGAAGATTTTTAAAGCATTAATGCATTTTCACTATATAATAAATAGAGCCCGACCCTAAGATCCAGGGGTCATGAAATTCACTATTTTGGAAGAGTCACCCTTGCTTATCATAACTTTGTATTTAATTTGTTTAAATAATACCCAGGAGTAGAGAAGAAGATTTTCAAAGAAATAATGCACTTTCACTATATGATCTATATAGCCCCCCCCCTCTCTTCCCCAAGCACCAGAACCCCTAACCCTGGGGCCATGAATTTCAATTTCACAATTTTGGTAGAGTCACCCTTGCTTATCAAAACTATATATTCAATTTGTTTCAATAACACCCAGGAGTAGAGAAGAAGATTTTCAAAGAAATAATGCACTTTCACTATATGATCTATATAGCCTCCCCCCCCCCCCCCCCTCAAGCGCCAGAACCCCTGACCCTGGGGCTATGAATTTCACAATTTTGGTAGAGTCACTCGTGCTTATCATAACTATGTATTCAATTTGTTTCAATAATAACCAAGATTAGAGAAGAAGATTTTCAAAGAAATAATGCACTTTCACTATATGATCTATATACCCCCCCCCCCCCCCACGCACCAGAACCCCTGACCCTGGGGCTATGAATTTCACAATTTTGATAGAGTCACTCGTGCTTATCATAACTATGTATTTAATTTGTTTAAATGATACACAGGAGTAGAGAAGAAGATTTTCAAAGAAATAATGCACTTTCACTATATGATCTATATAGCTCCACCCTAGCACCAGAACCCCTGAATCTGGGGCCATGAATTTCTCAATTTTGGTAGAGGGCTCAATGCTTATTACAATCATGCCAACAGTTTGACTGCTTGATGTCCAGGAGTAAAGAAGAAGATTTTTAAAGATTGCATTAATTTTGGTGGTTTTAGTCCCACCCCTCAGGCCCCAGGGGGCAGGGACCATGATATTCACAAATTTTGTTCCCCTTCACACATAGATGCCATATGCTAAAATTGGCTGAAATTGGTTCAGCGGTTTCAGAGAAGAAGCTGAAAATGTTCAAATGTTAACACACGACGGACGACGCACGATCGACGACGGACGAAAACAGATAGCAATAGGTCACCTGAGTGACTCAGGTGACCTAAAAATGTATCATCCAAGTAAGAGTCCCACTTTAACTACTCCATTCCGTAGAGAACGAGAAGAATGGTGGATTAGAAAACTAGGCACTGCATTTCCGCATGGCTGCAACAACCACATCATTAATGGACCGATCAGTAGCTCAGTCGGTAGAGCGCTCCCTCCGTGATCGGGAAGTCGTGAGTTCAAATCTCGGCCGCTACTGACCTAAGTCGATATAAAATGGGTAGCAACTGTTCCTTCGCCATGCACTTTGAAGGAAAGTTGCGGGTCCTTCGGATGAGACCTTAAAACCCAGGTCCCGTGTCACGGCAGGCGTTGGCACGATAAAGATCCCTCACTGCTCAATGGCCCTGAGTGCCGAGTAAAGGTCAAAATTTGAAACCTTTCACCAGTATAATTATGGTGACGTCTCTATGTGAGTGGAAAATTCTCGAATGGGACGTAAAACAACATACAGTCATTCAGATCATTAATGTAGGGAATATTCAAGCCCACAATTTGCCAGTGTTTTGACAATATACCTAGGCGTAGGCGTATATAAGGACATCGATCATAAAATAAAGCAAATATACAAGAAGTCTCTTCTGATTCACTTTTACCTTACGCCAATAAATAACAAGGTCTT